CTCCCTTCCCTTCCCCCCTCCCCTTTCTCGCCCCTCTTCCTTTTTTTTTTTTTGGTTGTACTGGGGATTGAACTTAGACCTTGTGCTTGCCAGGCAGGTGCTTAAGCTGCTGAGCTATCTCCCCAGCCCGACATTCAATCTTATCTAGTTTTTATAGCAAATAAATAGATACACCTTCCTTTAAAATTTTTGAATTTAGTGATGTAATGCTCCTTATAACATTTCCTTATCCTTTTAGTGTTCATAAAATCTGTAATGATGTCCCCACTTCATTTATAATATTAATTTGTGTCCTTTTTATATTTATTTGGAGAGTAAGTTTTCATTATATTAATCTTTTCAGGGAACCAGCTTCTTATGTTTCTAATTTTGATGATTTAAAAAGTTAGCTTTAGATCATAGGATACTTTTAGAGTTGTAGATAAATTACTCAGATATAGCAAAGATTCTTACTGTTACCCAAACCTAGTTTTCCTGTTATCATTCATTAATATGGTAAAGTCACTACAATTAATGAACCAGCATTGTTTATTGTTAACTGAAGTTTATTCTTTTTTTTTTTCTTTCAGTTTTCCATAATTTTTACCTAATTCTCCTGAAGGAAGTCAGTGTACTTACACTAGTATATATGCGCTTTACCTCCCTGATGGTGGAGTATCTACAGAAGTTAATTGAAATTGTTCTGCAAAGGACATTTGTCTACGTCACTACCTCACTACTGTGGCATATAGATGTTTATTTCTTGCTTTGCTTTATTATCCACTAGTACCTTACATATTTTGGTGGTTGAATTGTGCTAACTTTGGTTGTTGGGTACTCTTCCAGTTGAATCCTTGTACCTTTGCTATACTCCATCATTGAGTGTGTGTTTGAATATGTCCTAGCTTTCTGGCACTACAAGATTTTGTAGAAAATTTTACATTTAAAGAAAATTTTACAGTTATTTTTAGCTGACACATGAAAACATAAAATTGTATATATTTGTGGGGTACCATACTATGTTTTAATGTCTGTATATGCTGCATAATGCTTAAATCATATTGATATTAATTTGAAATCCAAATGGAAATGCTTTTACAATCTTTTCTTCTAAAAACTATCAAATGTTTAAAGAATTTGCACGTAATTCATGTGTAGGGGCAATGTTCATATTCTCTGTGTTGTTCCAGTTTTAGTGAATGTGCTACTAAAGTGAGCACTCCAGGCATATCTTACAATTTCCTGCCTCAGTTCTGGAATCATAAATTTCTCCAAAGAGCTCTGGTTCCTTTTGCTGGAAAATGGTATTGGAAATCAAGATCTGGGCACTAGATGTGCTTGTTTACACAGGAGTATTGTTACTCCTAGGCACCCTTACCTGAAAGAGCAAGCAAATAAATATCTGTACTGACTTGTGTACACCTATTAGTAAATATTTTTATATGTAATTAGTATTTATATAAGCTAAACGTAAGTTCATACTGATGTCTCCAGCTGTAACGTATTATCATGCATCTTCCTACCCTTCTGACTTCTTTGTTTATACTCTTCCCCCAAATAAGAGTCTCGGCCTGCATCAGCCAACACCTGTTTACTTCATTGAGCAATTTTAACATGTACAGTGATTTCAGAATTGTTAATCTATATTCTTTGGAAAACACTTTTAGCAGCTAGTGTATA